ATTTCCAATACTGTTGGAAGATCGATAGGTCTGCATTAAATCCTGGGGTTTTACTCTGTTGCTTACAGCCAATAGAAACGAAGTAAAAACCTTTAAAGACAGGAGTCTGATCTGTGTAGTTATCTGAATTTCAAGATCAACAATCAATAGGTCGAGTTTTACTTTCTGTCTTGCTTTTAATTTTCTCCAACAACAGGACAGTTTTCTTCTTCTTTTCTTATAATCAGATCTAATCGTGAAGGATTGATTTGGTTTTGGACGAAATTTGGTAAATATAATAATAATAATTGGATCTATAAATCGCAACTAATCAACATATAGTTCTCAATATTATTTGTCGGTTTCCTTGCGTGTCTATTAGTTTGATTTTCAACATTCATAAACCCTAACTCTTATATATTTTTTCATATGTATTGTTAGAAGCTCACAATTGGATTTACAACATTAAATTGACAACAAAAAAAAATATTAAAAAAATACTAATTATACTTCGAAATCTGAAATGTTCACGACTGGAATCTATAACGGTACTCCGAAATGTCTTATTTTGGACAAAGTGTTTATTTTTGTTTTAGAAAAAACACAAAAAGTTGGTCACTTTTGCTTAAAATCTGGTTAATAAACGTTAGTTCTGTTGATGTTATTCATACACTTCACTTCTAAAATGTAGTGTTACGATTTCTAAAATGTCGTTTCTTATTTTTTGTTCTAAAACGAAATAAATATCGTATTCATACATTTATGGATTATGACTTCACAAATTCACAAATCCACGTATTCGAGGTTTAAAATATTGCTTTAAACAATCAAATAAATCAAAAAACCATAAAAATTTGGAAACAAAAAACTGAAAATATAGTTTTCTCAGTGATAGATAGAAAACACTTTTGTTTTTGTAGTTTTTAGGCAAAAACTAAATCAAACTAATCCTACTCATTTCGAAAACAATATTACAATTCGGACCCATATCCATGCTTATTAGCATTTACAAACAACATAACAAGAGAATTAACGCCAATAGGACTGCCTCGAAATCGGACCAATCAAAAGAGAATCAGATAGAACAAACACATACAAAAATATATTACTAACACCGGGTAAGCAATAATAGGTCATGTAGGTTTGGATCCGGTTTAGTTAAACAAGATAAAATTGACAACCAAACCCGAACACATGTTTAATTAACCCAAAAATACCTATTTATTAAACGGGTTAACCTAATGCTTATTCATTAATTTATGAGTAAGGATTAGGTTTTTCTAAAATTAGCAAAAAGAAATTGACATTTTGTTGGATGCTCTACCAAATGCATAATTAGAAAAAAAAAAAAAAAAAATGACATTTTGTTGGATGCTCTACCAAATGCATAATTAGAAAAAAAAAAATGACATTTTGTTGGATGCTCTACCAAATGCATGATTACTGGTGAGATTTTTTGATGTTTTGGATTTTTATTTATTTATTTATTTATTATTATTATTTTTTTGTAACTTTTAAGTTTTTCTAAGATTAGCAAAAAAAATTGACATTTTGTTGGATGCTCTACCAAATGCATAATTAGTAATAAAAAAATGTCGTTTTGTTGAATGCTCTACCAAATGCATGATTATTGGTGAGATTTTTTGATGTTTTGGATTTTTTTTTTTTTTTTTTTTTGTAAAAAAATTTAATTAGCTATTTTAGTCATATTTTCTTTGATTTTTTTTTTCTCAACTCAATCTATTAAAGAAAGACGCTAATTGGCCCACTTAAATTTTATAGTTTACCCAAAATAAAAATAAAAATTTAGACTTAGTTAATTAACCTACACCCAATTAATTATTCAAAGTTAAAAACACACAACTACGAGTTAATGGACCAAATTACATTCTAAATACTTTTATCAACAATATAAAGTATAAAGACTTTCATACTTATGAGTACCACCCAAATAATAATACATTTAAAACTTTGGAGTATTATTTGTACTTGTAAATTTCAAAATATTAACTAAAGTACAAAATTATATATATATATATATATATCCATCTCTAATAAAAACCTCTACTAGAAGCCACGTGTCCATTTTTTAGACTAACCATTTGCCATGTGGCATTCTCTCCAACAATATACTCTATTTCTCCCGCCCAATTCCTCATTGAATATCAAATCTGTAATTTCAGCTTCCGAATTTGGCGCAGTTTCTATTCACTATCTTTATTCCTAAAATCAACAATTAAATTTTAAATACATGATTTCATACCAAAAATCAGCAAAAAAATCAGGGATCCTTCTCCAATCACGCTTCTATCTCCTCCTATTTCTCCTATCTCTTTTGGAAACCAAATCACTTATTTAAATTTTAAAATACACCAAATCACTCAATCTCTCCATCCATCTGTTATCTTTTTTTTCTTTTTCGTCTCATTCTTCTCTTTTCTTCTAGGGTTTTTAGTGGTTCCCAACTAATTGGGTAAAATTGGGTGGCAGTGTTGATGTTGATAACGAAGATCAAGATGAAGTCGACTTTGAGAATTATACCCCAGCATACCGGCTTACCTTCAAAAAGTAAGATCAATATTCTGATTTTAATTTTGAGTGTTGACTTTTCAGGTTAATCAAAACTGAAGGCTTTTGAATTTAGGGATTTTTGTGATTTGTATTCATAAATAATGATTTTTAGTTTAGTTGATGACAGGCACAATAGTACTAATCAAATATCTAACATCTACGATACAATCAAATCCGAAGCTTGCACGTAATTCTGCAACATTTTACATCGAATTTTTATGGGGCGGATATTCTTTCTCACACCTTTGACTGCCTACACGATGGTTATTAGATTTTTCTTATGGTTTTTACCCAAGTCTATTATCAAAAGCTTCACATTTCTTGTAAGATTTTGCACATAAATTGATGACAGTGAAGTTAAAATCATGTTTCTTGCTGTATCTCAAGGAAGGAGGTTAGATTTATCTTTTCCAACAAATATTTTATTGTATATTTCGATTATAAACTATATAAATGATAAATCTCACCATTATACATGCTAATTTCCAAGCACTAGAGATCCGTCCCACTATTATGTCATGTGGGTGTGTATGTATGTGCACGATTTGCGGTAATCTCTTATAAGTTAGCAGATAAAGATGCATAAATTTCATTTAGAAATTCTCTTTGTTGATTGTAAACTTCTGACATTGTTATGTTTTTGTTAGAGGGAATTGCCAGTATTCACCAATTGCCGATAAGAAAAGCAAAAAATATGGCCTTCTAATCTAGAATTTATTACGTTTTTTTATAACCAAGGGTATGGCTATTAATATTTGTTGTTTTAATAATGAGATTATATATTATAACCTTATTTGACTATTTACATAATTTAAAACATGACTAATCCTTTCCATAAACTCTGTCATGCAATGTTACTAATTTGACTAAAAGCATTAGTAAATAGAAAATCAGAAAAGTTAGGGCAAAATGGGAATCATGTGTTTTGAATGTGACAGCAAATGAGTAATTTATTTTATGAAATACATGTATGTCGTCGATGTGTAAGGAATGTATGGGGTTAAATATTATATTTTGTTTTTTTATTCGGATCAAACCTCAACTGTATTGTTTTTTGCCGAAAAGACCATGCCTTTTTCATTTTTTTCCGATATGGCCCTTTGTGTCATTTTTATCCAAAAAAAATCTTATTATATATTATAAGGGTTTTTGGAAAAAAAGAATAAAAAATTTGAGGATTTTTTTGGGAACAGTTTGAAGGTTGAGGCTTTTTTCTAGAAAAAAAAAAAAAAGAAAAGTTGAGGATCTTTTTGGAAAATACCAAAATATACCAAGTATTTTTCATGAAAAAAAATTGAGTTTTAGTCTGGAAAAAACTCAAAATGTATCATTAATAGCAACCTACTTTCCAGAAACTAACAATAATAGCAAGCTACTTTCCATAAAACTAACAGTACAAACATATATTAATACAAGTTTGTGGCATTATTTTTGATTTCCTTTTAGTTTACATTAATTTATTCTTATTTAACTGTTGTACTTTGAAAGTACATTGTTATTTCTTGCAATTACCCCAATTAGTGGCCGAAGGTAAAAACTAGCAATGTACGTTCATCTTTTTTTAATATAGCATCTTATTTTACCAATTAAGGGAACTGTATATTATTGATGTTTTTTATACAAAATGTCATAATAGTTATAGTTTTTCATGTATTATTTAGGGTTAAAAGCCATTAATAAGTGATAAATGGATGGATTGCATTTGATTATTTTGTAAATGGTTAAAATGGAAGGATCAAATGGCATGCAAGGTATATTCACGCTTCTGTGGTTTAACATTATAGTTATGGGTTAAATGCAAAAATAATACTATACTTTCATTTTATTTATTTATTTATTGTATTTTAGCATTATACTTTAATTCTTTGTGTTTTATCTATGTTTCTCACATAAGTTCCTGCTATAAACACTAAAATGGATTTACTTGAAAAATCTATTGGTCAAACATCATTTGGAACCAATGTTATATCTTGGACTTTGTGTTGAAATGATCAAGTAATTCGCAGTAATACGAAGACGTCGATATGTGTTGAAAAAAATATATATTACATATTAAAGATTCACCTAATTATCATCTAAACTGTAATCGTCCGTAAACTATTTGCCAAAAATAAGTTATTAGTCGTGATGAAACCATTCGTCACTGCATAAATGTCTAACAGAACATATACATAAGTTCAAAATAATGTATATATTAATTTTAACTAATCGACAAAAATTATATCTTTGTAATTTAATAAATCTATAATTTTTTATTACAATTTTATATTATCAATAATGTTTTCATTATTATCCGTGGTTTCCACGGGTTTTAACCTAGTATGTATGTATATATATATATATATATATATATATATATATATATATATATATATAGATTGCCAGGTTGATATGATGTTAGAAATTTCAACCCTATCTCAATTCATTTAAAATGTGGATCAGATTGGAAATCTCTAGAAAGAAGCAAAATGAATATATGAGATTCAAAAATGTATAATGTCTTAAAACTAAAAAAAGATAATACAGAAAAAACCTCCATTATAGATTTTCACATTCTTTAAAAGATCAAAAACAACAATCACAATCAAAAGGACAAAGTCGAGTTCCCCCAGCGTCCGCCTTACCAATTCCCAACTCCTCTTCCGAGTAAATCACTAGACCATCTCCTGTTTTCCTCTTTGGTGTAACAGTTTGTTCATTTTCAAATATTTTCACATTAGACCCTCCAGATTTATTCCTTAGCTTCTTTCTGTCCAAAGATTCATCATTTTTTCCATCTTTAACCCTTTTTTTGCTCTTTTGTTGCTCCTCGGGTTTCTTTCTTTTTTTAGAGAAAATATCCTCGATTTCTTGCCCAAATGATTTTGGTGTAGAGCTAGAGCATGGTTTCTCCTTTGGTAGAGGCGATTTTTTGGGAGGCTTAGATGAAGTCTTTTTTGGCTTTTCCCATGTGGCTACAACAGGGTTTTGTAGCCCTGTTTTTTGCGTCTTAGATGAGCTCTTTTTGGGCATTTTCTGAATCACAAATGTGGAAAAGATGATGATATCTACATACATTAAGAAAAAAAGGGTGATGTTTTTGTTCATTGCTCATAACTTGCAATAAATAACAGAAAAGCACTTGTGCCATACTTTTTTTATTAAAAAAAAAAAAAAAAAAAAAAAAAAAAGGCATTTTCCCCATTCACCCAATTTTGCAATAAACACCAAATGTATTTTCATTGACTTGGTTATTAAAAATAATGTATGGCCATAAACCATCAACTCCCTTAAGTTTATATGTAAAGGGTTGTCTGTATAAACAATTCTACAAGGATTAATTCTAACATTGAAAGCAAACCAGACTTAAATATTTGTGAACTTGATACTTTTACACAACCTCAAAGGAACATAACCCGACCCAAATTAAGTGACCTTATATTTCAAATGAATAGTCAGACAAAACAGCAACCCTAATTAGCTAATGCCCTAAATCAAAAATATATTCATCTACGATTAATTATACATAGACGTTATATAAGTATGACGTTAAAATTTAACTTAAAACTAATCAACTAAACCTATGAAAACTTTCAGTTAAATGACTTAAATCTGATAGTTAAAGTAAAATGCAGCTGTTGCCTACTGATTGAGTGATTTCAGTGATTTGTTCAACAGGACACCGCAAATAGCAAACATACATACTTGCCTGCTGATTTGCAACATACAATCAAACATCCACACCTGCCTACTAATTTGAATTTGTTCAACAGGAAAAGCAAACAGCAAAAATACACGCTCGAAAGTGTAAAGACTAAAATGTATGGAACTCAGAAGTGTAAAGACTAAAACAATTCGGGAAGAATTACCGGTAGGTTGAGAGCTCAGAAAATCGATGTTGATTAGTCGATTACAAATTAGGTCGAGAAGACGAGAACTCGATTGAGGAGGAGTAGGAGAGAAAAGCTGCGCAGGGTTTTCTTAATGGAATTGGTGAACCGGCGAATTGCTCAATGAAATTGTGTTTCAATGTTCTTAAGAATAAAAATTACGCCGATGGTCCTTGTGGTTTGGGGTTATCTGTTCATTTGGTCCTAATTCTTTTTTCAATTTTAACTCCATCTTTGTTTGGTTTTTGGTCTCGGTGTCAGATCTAATCCTTTTTATTTCATTGTTAATGTTTCTGTTATTTATTTCTTATTTATTTATTAAAAAATATTATTAAAAACAAATGAATCTTAACGCTCATATACCAAGCAACTCGCTCATCACTATCATCTCCGATAACCACCATCAGTCCACTCATGTCACTACCATTGGTCCCTTCCGGCCACCACATCACTCCATTTTCGGCAACCAAGTGAAATGAAATCAAAACTTGTAAACAAAAGCTACAACCAAAACCAAATTCAAACCTCCAAATAGAACCAAATCAAAATCTACAACAAAAATCATACCTGAAATCCCACCTAAAACTCTACTATAAAGATTATATGGTATTCTTTTTGGTCGGTTGAATTTGAATCTAGTGGAGAAGGATGAGAGAAAATAAGAATAAGAGAATGTGATTTTCTGTAGATGAATCAGTCGAAGACGAACAACTTCCAACCAATATTGGCTCCTTTCCTGTTCTACCTCACCAGTTTTCGACACACCAACCCTAGCTTTGTTTGTTTGTTTGTTTGTTTTTTTTTTGAGTGGATTGTAGATCCGGCAACAATGGTTGCAGTGATGGGTCGAATTAATCAATGGACGGCGACAGGTGGAGAGAATTTTTTAATTTACATAATATTCATTAAAATTTATAAAGCTCACAAAGAGTTTTTTAGTTTACTCCAAGACATAAATCTAAATATTACAATATCAAATGTGTAAATTATAAAATAAATCCACATACTAAACCAGGAAAATCACATATAATATAATGCAATTCACGTTTATAACATGGAATCCCTCGATTATAACATCCAAAAATACATTAAAACATGAAAAAATTTTAAAGCATATCATCAAATTTTTATATTAAAGTTACATATAATACATCGAATTTTTGATATATTATCTAATTTCTCTAAAAATGTTAGCCAAAAGTCAACCGATTGCCACAAAACTTTTACAAGTTACATTACTATAACACGTGTGAACTTAAAAAAAAAAATGCAATATTGATATAAAATGAAAGAAAAAAGCTGTTTTATATAAATTAATTTGATTTAAAAACTAATTACTTAAAATTTAAAACTATCATAATAATTTATCTTAGATTTAAAAGTCAATTTAAAAAAAAAAATCATGATTATCTATCAAATGCTTAATAATTTAAACCATACCATTCTAATTTGCAATATTTAACGAAAATGTCATCCATAAGTTACAACCATTGATCTGGATTAGATAATCAGAAAGGGCATTATATAGTGATGCTATGTTACATTACATACATAGAGATAGATAAAGAAGATAGTTTTTAGGAGTTAGGAGTTAATAGCTTTTGTATAAGACGCTTTCCTAGCTTCAATAGAATCCATTATAGTTGATGCTTCACCATGCATTACAACTCTCCCATCTTCCATATACACAGCTCCATCAGCATATTTCATTTCCTCCAATCGATGTGTTACCCATAACGCAGTCACATCTCCACAACTATTCAATGTCTTCTTCACAGCTTTAATCACCCCAATCTGACAAAATTCAATCCTTAAAAATCAAATATACATAAATAAATAAATAAATAAATAAAAAGGTTTGAACGATACTTTGCATTCTTCAACATAAAAAGTTAAAATTGAAAAGCATTAATCAATCATATGTATTTAAATATATACCTGATCAGATTGATCCAAGAATGTTGTGAGTTCATCTAGCAACAACACTTTGCATTCTTCAACCAAAGCACCAGCAATTGCAACCCTTTGTTTCTGGCCCCCACTAAGAGTCTGAACCGGTCTCTAACAAAACAAAACCAGGTAATAATTAATTACAAAGTTGTCAAGGGGTATTTCTGTCTTTCCATAAGTCATACATACATACATACATACATACATACCTGTAAATAATCATACATGCCCACAGCAGTCAATGCCTTTGCTACTCTCAGTTTTGTTTCCTCATCAGTCAGGTTGAATCTTCCAAGGCCAAATGCCACATCTGCTTCTACAGTAGGCATCACCACCTGAATAAATTTATACTCATCAAAAATACACAATCTATTAACTCCTTCTTTCTCAATATGTCAAAAAGTAAGTAACACCCATATACAGCTGCTTATTAACCCAAAACTAGTCATATATGACTCTTGATAAAGATAAGGAAACTTGAGTGTAAGCATATTGAAGGATAATCGATAATGGAATAAAGAAAAAAAAAAAGACTAACTTGGTGATCTGGGTTTTGGAAGACAAAACTTCTAGGTTTTTCCACATGTACAAAACCATCTGTTGGACATAGTAAACCTGCCAAGATCTGTGTATAACTTTTTACAACATAAATTACTCTATGTGACAAAACCGATAAGATCTGTGTATACTACCTTCAAAAGAGTTGATTTGCCGCATCCATTGGGTCCAAGCAGCATCCAGAATTGTCCAGAAGGAATTTTCAGGGAACAATCTTTTAGAATCGGAATCAACTTCCCCTTTTCTGTGTTGATTGAGTAGCTTACCCTATGACTTTCAATTGCAAAATTTTGGGCATCAACAACATTATTATTCCTGTAATAGAAGACAAGAAAACCCAATATGATTAGAAATATTGGAGACAAGGTGCTCGATGAAATGCCACAATGAAATTACCTGGTTGGGAGGTTGGAGTGGAGAGGTCCAGAGGTGCAAAAAGGAGTGTGGATGTTCATAACATGAAAAACAAGTAGAGGATAGGATGTATTCTTGTTCTGGACAGGATAGAAAATATGATGAAATGTGAAAATTACTATATTGCCCTTGATACAAATTAAGGGACATAATAACATAACTCCATAATAACTGAGATACAATGACAGATTCCTAAACAATAAAACAAAGCTTGTGAGGTCATGTCCATTCAAGATACAAAAAGGGTTCATAGAAATTCATAATGTATGGCCATAAACCATCACCTTAAGTCTATATGTAAAAAGTTGTCTATATAAACAATTCTCCAAAGATTAATTCCAACATTGAAAGCAAACCAGAGTTAAATATTTGTGAACTTGATAATTTTTCTAAACAACCTCAAAGGAACATAACCCGACCCAAATTAAGTGAGCTTTATATTTCAAATGAATAATCAGACAAAACAGCAACCCTTATTAGCTAATGCCTTATGCCCTAAATCAAGAATATATTCATCTACGACATCGATAAATTATACATAGAACTGTGATGAATGATTAGCTAATGCCTTATGCCCAACATTTGTCAGTTGAATGAATTAAATCTTGTCTTAAAGTAAAATGCAGCTCTAAAGGAAACGTAAAAATAACAAACATAAAATACACAATTGTACTTGCCTACTGATTGAGTGATTTCAGTGATTTGTTCTAACAGGAAACAGAAAATAGCAAACATACATACTTGCCTGCTGATTTGTTCAACAGGAAACAATCAAAGATAAATACCGATACTTGCATATAAACATACACACTTGGAACTATAAACACTAAAATGTAAAGAGGTCAGACATGTAAAGACTAAAGAAATTCAGATGAATTACCGGTAGATCGAGAACTCAGAAGATCGTAGCCTCCAATTTGATTCAAGCAGACAGCCGACAACCTCCAATGTCGATTCAGCCAGCAGGCTCCAAGCTTTCGAGGCTTCAAGACGCTAGGCGATGTCGATGTTGATTAATGGATTACTAGACGAATAGACGATAAAACTAGGAGAGAAAAGCTGCGCAGTGTTTTCTTTTCTGATTACGAATGGGTGAACCGGCGAATTGCTCGATGAAATTGAGTTTCAATTTTCTTAAAAATAAAATATATATGATATAACTCTTCCTATTCTTTTATAAATTATTTAAACTTTCATAATAAAAATTAGTTAAACTTTCATATTAAAAATTTATAATTATTATTTATTTAATATAAATTATTAATTAAAAGATATATCAAATTTTTAAAGTTATTATAACTTCAAATTTAACATATAATTAGAAATATGAAGAAATCGTATGACTGTAAAATGAATGTTTGTATTCACTGATGGATGTTGTACATATACGAGCTGTGTATTTATATACAGTGGAAAAGAAGGAAAAACGAGTCCTATCTATACGACACTAAGTAACGGCACCCAAGACTAGGTAAAATAGTTTGACCAGGTAAGATACTTTGAACTCTTCTGATATCACGTGCTTATTAGCCCCCGACAAGCTCAAGGATTGGACAGACTTGAAGCTTGGTACGAAGAAGATGGACCCAATCTCTAGAGAGTGGTTTGGTGAATAAGTCTGCTAATTGATCGACTGATGATATGTATCCAATTTTGAGTGCACCTACTTCTACCTGTTCACGAATAAAGTGAAAGTCTAAGGCAATGTGTTTTGAGAGAGTGCTGATGAATGGATTCTTGCTCATGAAGATTGCTCCCACATTGTCACAAAGGAGAAGTGGTTGTTTGAAAGTCAGAGCATGCAGTTCTTTAATTAGTTGGTGTAGCCACAATAATTATGCAGTAGTGTAGGCTAGAGATTGATATTCAGCCTCTGTGCTTGAGCGGGCCACAACTCGTTGCTTTCGTGATGTCCAACTGATGATATTTGAACCGTGAAAAATAGCATAGCCATATTGTGAATGACTATCTTCTTTATTCGAAATCCAACCGGCATCGGAGTAAACTAGTAATGAATCGGCTTTGGTAGGTGAGAAGTGAAGACAGTGGTTTAGTGTGCCCTTTAAGTATCGAAGAATATGTTTGGTAGCTTGCCAATGTTGTGTTGTTGGGGAGTGCATGAATTGGCATACGTGGTTTACAGCAAAGGCTATATCCGATCTAGTAATTGTAGCATATTGAATGGACCCAACAATTTTACGGAATAATGTTGGATCATGAAATGGCTCACCATCAGAGGTTAATCGGAAGTTGGGATCCGCAGGGGTTGATAATGGGGAAGCTTCGGTCATTTGACTTCTTTGAAGAATATCAAGGATATATCTTTGTTGGGAAAGATGGAGACCAGACTTGGTGGAAGTGATTTGCAACCCCAAGAAATAGTGTAAAGGACCAAGATCTTTGAGAGCAAACACATGATGAAGCTGACTGATGAATCATTGGATTTTATTAGGGTCGCTGCCAGTAATAATGACATCATCAACATACACCAGTATGTAAGTAATGGTGGTTGGGCTGGCATGGACAAACAAAGAAGTGTTGGATTGGCAAGCTTGAAAGCCTTGGGCAACTAGATAGTGTTTTAGCTTAGTGAACTAGGCACGTGGAGCCTGTTTCAATCCGTAGAGAGCTTTATGTAGGCGGCATATGTGAGTGGGACGAGTTGGATCTTCAAATCCTCGTGGTTGTTTCATGTAAACAACCTCGTTTAGATCTCTATTTAAGAAAGCATTGTTGATATCTAGCTGTCGAATAGACCACCCACGAGAAATGGCAATGGAGAGAACCAAACGAATGGTTGTTGGTTTAATGACATGGTTAAAGGTTTCAAAGTAATCCACATATGCTTCTTGAGTGAAACCTTGAGCCACCAAACGCGCTTTGTGTCGTTCAATAGTACCATCAGATCTTCGTTTTATCCTGTAAATCCACTTACAACCAATTACATTTGCATTAGTAGGATAAGAAACAATAGACCACGTGTTATTTCTCATAAGAGCATCATATTCGGTTTGCATAGTGTAACACCTGTGTTTCTGGGCTTGTCATTAATGTTGGTATAATAGTCTAGGTTAACCTTTGTAACCCGTTTTGAAATAATATAAGTGTATTATTTGAGTATTATGTGTTATGTGCTAAATTGTGTGTCTTAATTTAATTAAGAATAAAAATAAGCATCAAAATGAAATGTTAGATAAGTCCTATATTTATGGATAATGTTGTAGTAGTTGAAACGAGGTTTCCGAATATATAAAGAATGCCGAAATCCGAGTTATAACGAAGAAGTTACGACCTGTCGAAGTTTTGCGACAGAACTGGCACGACCCAGCGCGATGTAAATAGTGAATTTAAGGTAGTTAGATATCTATCCTTAGTGATCTAAATGAGAATTGAAGATCTCATCGATATTAGTGCAATGATGGAAAGACGGACGGAATCGGAGTTCAGATGAAGAAGTTATGAATTTCGAACGGAGTTTTCCTGTCCCGGCCTACTAAAAATAATATATAAGTAATATACTTATAATATATTAAAAATAAAGTCAAAATTAGCCAATGGAGTCTAAACGAGAGTTGTAGAGAATAATCTCACCTTCGCGGCGATATAAATAACATCGAAAACGGAGTTCGTATGCGAAAGTTATGAATTTCTGAAGTGCGGGGCGCGAAACCCCAAAACTGTCAGAGACCACGACGTGGCAAGCAGTGCCACGATGTGGCAAGTGTCCTGACACCTCCGGGAGGCCCCCAGATGCAACTTGGGATGACGCATGCAGTGACGACCAAGCCCACGACGTGGAAAAAGGTTGCCACGACGTGGCAAGGGCCAAATTTGCCCTATAAATAGATTTGAAGGGCCAGCCGTTTAGGGTTGCTATTTTCTCTCTTCTCTCTCCCGTTTTACCTCGATTTGCGTGCCAGAAGTACCCCGAATCCCCAGTAATATCCCCGAGATCCCGAAGATCCCGAGAAGTGCGGTTTCCGAGCCGAAGCTCTGCTCGCGAGAAATTCGACTTTTGTAGAGATCTTCCAGATCTGCTGAGGATTACTACTTCTGCAAAGCCGTAGTGTTGTCTGATCATCTTCTGATCAAGTGAGTGTGTAGTTACTTTCTTCTAACGCATAATTATGAAGTATTTTATACGAAATACGTGTTATGTGTATAATTTTGTTGTTATGTGCGTGAATGTATATTCACTCTCTTCAATCTCATAGATCTGATTTGTTTTCTATGAAATACGTGTTATGTGGGTATGCCTCATCTGTTATGTGAAGTATGTATTGGATGAAAATGCTATACAGGTTTTAAACTATGTATATAAATATATATTTTTATCTACTAATATGTTGGGTAGAACATGGATAGATAGTTGGTGTGTAATAAACAGATGAGAGGCCTCGATGTTGTTGTTGTTGACCTAGTTATTCAGCGGAGTATGGATAACGACCACAGACTCCTTCTAGACAGTCTCGTGGAACGCTAGCAGGTTCATAACATGTAGGTGTTGTGAACGATGTGTTCACTGGTGTACTCTATCCCCCTCATGGTTGCCTTTAGGATATCTATTGTTGAGGAAACCCCTTAGCAGTAATGTCCGTCCCGATGAAAATCCTAGATTAGGTCCCTTAAGATAGATGTTGTTTTAGGGACGTAAAGTGAGGATAACGGGAATGGGTAATCGGGATAGTGATTGGTTGGTGAAATTAAATATAATTTATTTATTGTGGGTTGAAAACCCTATATGCTCACCAGGCTCCCAAGCCTGACCCACTCAGTTTTATCTGTATTACAGAAAGTGGCGCAAGGGCGTAAGATGGATGAACCATCAAGTTGTTTTGTTTACAAGTCTGCATATGTATATATTTGTTGAATGACTTGTAATGTTATCGTTTATGCTTATTGGTCTGTATCGGAACATGACACCCCGAGTTTTGATTATATAATGAAAATACATTTATTTTATGAAATGCTTTGGTAAACATTGTTTTATCATGTTTTGTTTTTGGGAACAAATTCCGCAACTCTTTCAAATCAAAAGGATTTACTCTGAAATTATTTTAAAAAGCATAAATGAAAATCGGTCTTTTCTGGCCTTGATTTTGGGGATGTCACACATAGCTTATTGCCAACACGGGATTTTAATAGCTTGAGAAAAGAGGCATGGTTCAATGGTGGATGGATCAGAGAGAGATGTGTGAAAAAGTCTAGGTTTGAGAGAGTTCGTTTGTGACCTGGTCACCATGCAATGGGTGTTATTTGGAGCGGGTCGATAATGAGAGGTTGAAGGTTGAGTGTGCTTTACACGAGAACTGACGGTCGAGGTTTGATAGGATGGAGTATCGGGGTGAATAGGATGGGAGGGAAGTGGAGGTGTGTGGGTAATAGAAGATGTGGAAGTGGAAGAGGAGGATGAGAGAGTTAAGGATAACATAGGTTGTGATGGTGGTGTTGTAGATGAGAGAAAAGCAACTTGGGTAAGTAAGTGAGGGGTAATATCAGAGGGAGGCGGAATACTGGATGAAGGTTTGTTGGAGGTTGGGGGTAAATAAGGAAAAATGGTTTCATTAAAAACGACATGGCGTGAAACATAGATACTGGATAATTGTTGATGGAAACAAAGGTACCCTTTGTGTGTTGAACTATAGCCTAGAAAGATACATGGAAGTGAGCGAAAATCAATTTTGTGAGAATTATACGGGCGTAAGAAGGGGTAGCATAAGCAACCAAAGGTTTTGAGGAAGTTGTAGTCTGGTATTTTGTTGTAAATACATTGATAGGGAGACTTAAAGTGGAGAGTAGGAGTGATGATGCGATTGTTGAGATAAGTAGCGGTTTGAAAAGCATGTTCCCAAAATTTTTTGGAAGGGAAGACTGGGCTAACAAGGTGAGGCCTTTTTCCACAATGACGCGGTTACGACGTTCGACGGCCCCATTTTGTTCTTGTGTATAGGGACAAGAAACACGGTGTTGAATGCCATGGGTGTGGAGAAAAGTGGAAACATTTCTATATTCCTCACCCCAGTCGGTTTGAAAGGGCCTTAATGTCGCAATTAAATTGGGTTTTGACCATTTGTTTGAAGTGGAAAAAAGTGGAGAAAACTTGAGATTTGTTGGATAAGAAATAAATCCAAATGTATTTGGTACAATCATCAACAAACAGAACGAAATAACGATGTCCATTTATTGAAAATAAGGGAGATGGTCCCCATACATCTGAGTATACAAGATCAAATTGAGATAAAACAGAAATATGAGAAGCAGGTAAGTGTAAACGATGACTTTTCCCGAGCTAGCATGAGTCACAAACAGTGGGAAAATGCTTGGAAGAAACAGGGAGCTGGAATGAAGAGAGAAGTCTACGCAGTAGTGACTCATGTGGATGATCCAGATGTTGGTGCCAACCGTGAAAAAATGTGTGAACCCCTAAAAGAGCCAAGGGTGAAGAACACTTATTGATGAGGTTTGGTACACGATAGAGACCATGGTCAACGTCCCCTGGAGAAGAGTTTGACCCTGCAAATTCTTGACAAAACACTGGTTACGCCAAAATTCCATGTAAACGTCATTATCTTTGGTTAATTTAGATACACTTAGAAGATTATTGGTTAAGTTTGGAACTACTAAGACGAATGGGAAATTTAAGTTATGCAATGAACTGACACCAATATGAGAAATAGTCATGTGATTACCATTGCCAACCTTCAACTTATCGGTGCCATGGTAGTCTTCAGCAAGATTGAGTTTTCTAATATCCGGAGTGACATGGTTCGTTGCACCGGTGTCAAAGTACCAGGCAGGGTCGACTGTTGTGGATGAGGTGGTAGCGTGAGCAATGTGAGCCTGGCGAGAAGATTGTCTGGGATTGGGTCGTCTGGAGGGATAGTCAGTTTGGTTGTTTCTTTGCCAGCAGTCGATAGCTTCATGGCCGAGACGACTACATAGATGACACATAGGGGGACGCCGATGATTGTCGGGATTTCGCTGTGGACTAGAAGCATGAGAGTTATTTGGAGATGATTGGACCCGGGTAGAAGACCGTTGTGCTGCCAAGGCGGTGGAACTGGAGATAGGTGAGGCAGAGGTTGGAATGGAATTGAGAAGTGGAGCATTGCGAGTATGTTCATGTTCAATTCTTGCCTCTTCTTGCAGAAGAAAACCAACAAGATCGTCAACAGTGATGTTATCCGAATGCATCATGAACGTCATGGCAAAGGCGGCATAGGAGGAGTCAAGTCCCGTGAGAATGTAGCTAATCAAATCTTCCTCCGGAACTGGGTGAAGATTCTCAGCG